CAGGCTGTGCGCACACGCATGGCCCCTGCCCAGGCTCGTAGTTCTGGAATAAACCCCACGCCACAGACTACGTCTGTGGATGACTAAGGTGGATCCTGGCTAATTTTTATGTTTCTTCTAATCCTGCTCTCTTTAGAGCTGGAAGTGCCCTCATCCTCCGAGCCCGCCGGCCCCTGTCTGCTTAAATAAACTGGTTTTCCTGCCAGTCAGACCGATGCGACGGGTCTCCAGCAAGTTCTGCTGCTGAAGATGGGCCCTGAGGGTGAGGTGCAGCTAGAGGAGGAATTATGTGACCAGCCTGCGCCCTGACCTTGCAGGAAGCAGGTGCTAACTACTGTTTGGAAGTCAGGTTTACGCAGCCTTCCCCAACAGGTGTTTATCGAGTGTCTGCCTCGAGATGGACGCTGCTCCAAGCAAACCCTTGTCCTGTGTGAACGCATTTGCTAGTAGAACCAGCATGTACTACGGTCAACCCTGCCCCACTGCTTCACACCCTGCTTTTGTCCGAAAGGATCAAAGCTTTTGGTTCTTGGACCTTCAGAAGGCTGGTTCCCTGGCGCAGAAGCCCGGCCGGGCTCCACGGCTGCCATGCGGGGCCTCCCGTGGGCTTCTCCTCCTCGGGTGGCCTGGTCATGTATTTTTAACTCACTCTGACCATAATTCAAGACACTAAATTCTGAATTCTTCTTCTACTTCCTTCTCTGATCAGGATCAGTGGCTTCAGGGAGGAGGCCTATGGCAGGAGGGACAGGCAGAAATCCCCACGTCTTTTCCATCTTGGATCCAGGGCCTGACCCGGAAAATGGAGAGGAAGTAAGAAAGGAGTGTGGGGAGGCAGCCAGTCCCCCGAGCAGGACTGGCACGGCCCCACTGCTGGCGCCCACCATCCCGCTGTGTCTTGGGGACAGTTGCGAGGGCTGATGGCCAGATGTGTGCCAGCCCCTGTCTCCCATTTGCACGTGTGTGTGCACACGTGTATGAGTGTGTGCGTGCATGGGGCCCCCAGGATGAGGGCTGGGAAGTCCGGAGAGGAGGGGAGGTGTCATGTGTCCAGAATCATGGTGACGATGGACTCCTGCCCTCCAACATGGCTTCACTCTGGAGCTCTCCCCAGCCCGGCTCGGTCCTCAGGCCTGACACACCCCGCCTCCTCCTGGCACCACGTGGACTCCTGGGCCACCAGCCTCCTCTCTGTCCTGGAGGCAGGCCTGCCTGGGAAGCTCAGTGTCCCGGGCCTGGTGCCTGCGGGGCCCGGCTGTGCTGGCCATCAGGGAGCCTGGGTGTCCGGGCTGGGCCCGTGTGCGGGCCCCTTGTTAGTGCTGCAGTCTGGTGACCGCTTGGACTGCTTTCCAGGCTGACGGCATGCTTCAGCCCTGCTTCTCGCGTGTAGCGGCAGTGTTCTGAATGTGCCAGTCTGCTTGGCTCCAAACAGAGGACTTCAAGAAACGTTCATTGGTTGTGTGAATGAAAGATTAAATGTCTTCCGTCAGGTCAATACATGCTTCCCCATCGGGAAAATAATCAGGCTGACCTGGTTTAGATCTGGCTTCTGCCACCGAGCAGATACTTGACTTTGGGAAAATTATTTAAATTCTCGGGGCCTGTTTCTTCATCTGTGAAATGATATTATAGAGATTAAATAAGGCCACGGGTGAAAAGCAGCGACCACGGAGGGCATGGGGCCGCTGCCCAGCTCGCCACCTGTCTGAAGGGATGCGTGTGCGGAGCCACAGCTGGCTCCGGGCGAGGTGCTCAGAGAGACTCGGCTGTGTCCGGGGCACGCTGGGACCTGTGTCTGTGTCGGGGAGGTCAGTGTGTGGGAGAGCTGAGGGTGGTCGCCCACAGCAGGACAGCTGCTGTCACAGGTGTTTCACACGTGGTCTGTTTTCCCTCCTAAGAGTGATTTTATTCTATTCGCTGCTTTATAAAACCCTGCAGATGTCATAACTGTTCAACAATTCAGCAAACTGTGGTCAACTGGTGCAGTTTGCTGAGCTTGTTGGCAAAGGAAGGGAAAGGCCAGACCCTGTTAATGCTGTTCCTTCTCGGCCCCGGAGCGCAAAAAGGTCTTCACCAGGGTCAGAAAACCCGCATGGCACTTCCCTGACGGTCAGCAGATCCATCTGACGCGTCTAAACTGGAGTCCACGACTGGGGCTGCCACCCTGGAGGGGCTCCCCGTCTCCAGCCCCCACGTCGGAGGGTTTGGTCCTTTCACGTTTGAGCACTGGGCTCGTGCTTCCTGCCCTGTACCTTCCACACGTGGTCTCTTCTCGCTGAGGGTCGAACGTCCTCACGTGACTTTAAGACAAAGTGGTTCCAACACGAGGTGCTTGCCCCCGGCCCTTGACGCGTGAGCATGAGGCCGAGGGAGGTGTGTTGAGCGGGTGGAGCCGAAGGCTCGTGGGACCTTGTTCCAACGGCAACAGCCACAGCGTGAGCAGCTTTGAGCCTTGGAACTCTGACTTACTAGCGACTGAAGTTTCCGGTGTGTGTGTTTTTAAAGATTTTATTTATTTGTCTGAGAGAGAGAGAGAGAGAGAGCCCAAGCAGGGGGAGCGGGAGAGGGAGAAGCAGGCTCCCCGCTGAGCAGGGAGCCCGATGCGGGGCTGGATCCCAGGACCCCGAGATCATGACCTGAGCCGAAGGCAGACGCTTAACCACTGAGCCACCCAGGTGCCACATGTGGTTCCCAGTCTTCACTGAGTTCCCTCCTTCACACATTAGCAACTCAGTGCCAGGCTTTAGTCCCCAGCACGAAAGACACTGAAATGACAAGCAAGGAAGCGGTGCCGCATGTCCCAGGGGGCATGGGCAGCAGAGAAGACACAGAAGATAGAATACCCTGCACAGCCTCCAGGGTCCCCGCGTGCCCCCTGTAACCCCACACGGGGTCCCCATGTACCCTCCATTCACCCCCTCCCTGGGACCCCACACACCCCCCATGACCTCCTGGGACCCTGCGCGGCCTCCATGAATACCCCTCCAGATTCCGTGCACCCTCCCTGGACACCCCAGGGACCCTGTGCACCCACCATGCACCCCTTCCCCGGGACCCCACACACCACTCATGGACTCCTCTAGAGACCCCGTGTGCCCCCATGCACCCCCTCCCTGGGGACCCCACCTTCCTACTCTTGGGCTTTGTTCTGCTGTCTTGCTCCTTTTGATGAAGGTAATCTGTCCCCAGTCACCCTCTCCCAGTGAAATCCACTGAAATCTGGGACCACGGCGGCCAAACCCTGGCACAGCCCAGCGCCTCTTCCTGTCCTGTGATTTACCTTCCAGTGACTTTCCAGACTGTGCATATTCGTCTGCATTCATAGCCTCACTCCCTTCAACGGCATTGTTAGCAGTCAACGCGTCTTTGCTAACTCACGGCCCGACTCTTCCTGCACCTTGTTCAGCTGCTCGCGCCTGTTAGCTCCCTGTGGTCACCGTCACCCCAGCTGCTCCGGACGTCCCTGTTGCCGTCTTCCCAGTGCTCTTCTGCGGAGGGCGCGCCCGCGTCCCGGGACTCAGGGCCCCGCTGGGTGTGAGTGTGTGTCCACGTTATCTTCTCCATGTCAGTACTGATTTTCCAGTCCCTCTGATTGTCTTCAGGCTAGAAGAGGACAGATTTCCTCTGAATTGTCTTAGCAAAAGCTAAATTAAATTACACTTAAAAAATCCCTGATCCCAGACTGGTGCTCTCTGCAGAGGTCGGCTTGCTATGGGCCCCTGTGTCAGGTCGAGGCGGGTAAACCCGTTGTCAGTTGGCGCCTTCGGCACAGGCACTGACGCACCTGTCACACTGGGCGGGGAGGGGGTCTCAGGAATGAATTCTAAGCAGGGTCCCTCCCTGCAGTGATGCGTGTAGGCTTTGAAAGAATTCTGGATCTGCTCGTGGTCACACACTTAACCTCCTGGGACCTCGGTTTCCCCATCTGTGAAAGGGGATCAGCACAGGGATTGTCTGAGGCTGCCATGATGTAGACGGGGCGGGCGGTCCGAGTGCTGCTACACCCTCCAGCCAGCCCGGGGACCCTCCTGCACCCTCGCTGGCTCCCCAGGCCCAGTCTGCTTCCCTGGGCACCGGCGTCTGAATGGCAGCCGACAGCCACGGCCCCTGTAGAGTGCTGGCCTGTGTCACAAACGCTGCACCCCACAATTCTGAGTCTGGTGTCAAGGTTGAGCTCAGGGTCCCAGGACTTAAAACACAGCTTTTGGTGACGGGAGCGGACGGCCTGGGTTCAGACAGCCGGCTCTTGGGCGCGTCCTTCAGGAGGGAGGGCAGGGTCCTTGCTGTCGAAGTGACCGCCTCACTGCTAAGGATTCGCCAACTACGTGGGAGCAAAGAGGCACAACACTGTTTCTGGTGACATTCTCCTAACTACCAGGGGGGCTGGGTGCCTTTCACGCTGGCTGGTGGTTTGGGTGCTCTGCCATCAGGTGGCTGCTCGGACAGTTTAAAAATGGCCCTAATGGTCTTTGCAAGACCCTCTCTTTGCCGCCATGCAAGGCAACAGGTCCTGGGAGCCTCCTCTGGCCGCTCCCATCCTAACCTGGGGGTTTACTCAGCGCCAGAGTGATGGGGGCGAGGGTGAGCGGGTGGGGGTGTGCCAGTGCCTTGCAGCGTGCTTTCATTCATGCGTTCATTCATTCAAGGGGAACGGAGTTTCAGCGTCTGCCCCTCAGGACGCGGAGCAGAAGCACCTGCAAGAGCCCCGCAGGGGCAGGTGGGCCGACTGGGAGCTGAGTGCAGCCTCCCCGCACACATCCCAGCCCTCCGCAGCCTGTGGCCTGGGGGCACCGACTAGGAATCCTGGAGGACTTCCCAGCTGGGCTGCCTCCCCGGCCTCAGCCTCCTGCCCGGGTGCGGTGCCGGACCAGGGCGGGCAGGGGGAGGGAGGGAGTGTAGGTGGGAAGGGGGCGGTCCACACAGGGAAGGGGCGGGGCTCGGGGCCGCTGATCTGCCCTGATCCACCCTGATCCACATCAGACCTGCGGACACTCCCCGGGATGCAGCCGCCCGTGCCCGGGCCCCTGGCCCTGCTGGACACAACAGGTGAGAGGGGCACCAGCATCCTGGCCGTGCCCAGGGCAGGCCGTGGGCTGGGGTCCTGGGCAGGGTCCACAGCTCCTTCCTGCAGCCGTGTGGCTGCACCTTTGGGACCCTTTGTCCTGACACGGTGGTCTCCCTGCATGCCTCTCTGACTCCCTGTCTCCCCGTCTGTTGCCACGGACCCCGCCCTCCGCCTCCCCTGCCCCAGCTCAGGCATTTCCAGACCTTGTTTCAACGGATGGGGGCTGTTTCCCATAGTTTGGGCTCTGTTCCAACCCCCCACATCCTTCTGCCCCACGAGTTCCTGGAACCCCGGTTTTTGGCCAGACTAGATGCAGCCTGGAGGAGGCTCAAGGGCCAGAATGACGAGGGTGTGTTTTGCTGACGGGGGTCAGGGAAGATTCTGAAAGGAACGGAGAGTGAGGCCAGCTGTGCCTCCTGCGCTCCCTGCCAGGAGACCCTGCCAAACCTGGGCGTGTGCCTCTGGGCTGCCTGCAGCATCTTTGGAACGTTTCTTATTAAAAACCAGAAGAGTTAATGTTGTTTGATTTGCAAATAATGATCGAAGAACCTGGATTCTTCCTTGAAAGAAACAGATGCACACCCCCCACTCTCTAAAGCACAGTGCTCTGTGTACCTGTGTTTTCATCCTCCAGAACGGATTACTTATTCGTGGACGATGAGAATGAGGTCTGTACCAGCCGGTTGTTATTATGTTATTATACTGCAATGATTGGTGGTTTAAAGAGCACTTTGTTTTTCCTTCTGACGAATTATACCAGGAGTTGGTCTCTTATTCAAAAGTATAAACATTAGTGTAGCTGGGTGGGCTTACGGGTGGGTACTTTCTACTTCACATTTCTGCGGTCAGCACCTTGCATGTCCCACCTATAAAATCAGGAGACAGGAGGCGGATGGCTGAATCGCAGGGTTCTGCCCCAGTCTCTTTCCCGGGGGCGTCACGTTGCCTTTCCCGGGGGCAGGTGTTCCCAGGCGACGAAGCAAGCACATTCTTCTCTCTGGGAGGCCATGACCTGGGACAGTTCCAAACTGCAGCACCCGGTCTGGGGATGCGATCTGCTCCGTCCTGCCGTGGCCAGGCTTTCCCAGGAGCTGTGGCAGAGGGAGAGGGCTGCGGGTGGGCGCAGGGCAGGGGCACAGGGGTAACAGGGAGATGCCACCGTGGCCTTCAGCGTCGCCCCTCAAGCTCCTCTCCCAGTGGGAGGAAAGCCAGTTAGGAGCACCTGCCACTGATCTGAATGTCCACTCCACCCACGAGGAATAGATTGACTACGCTCACTATGCCCAGAACTCACGCATGTTCTCTTGTTGGACCCTTAGAGCAGTTAAGAGGTGGGTAATGAAGCTGGCTGTCACCCCCACCCTGTCCAGATCGGGAAACAGGTCTGTGCCTCCAGGCAACACTAGGAAATCTGCCTGTCGTCTGAGCCAGGTGTGGGGTCCAGCCGCAAGCAGGGCAGACAGGCCCTGCTCCACGGGCTTCCCCTCCGGGCAGCTGGACACCACATGGCCAGTCCGGGCAGCCGCCCGTAGGCTATAAAGCCAACCGTACAGATTTTAGTTAACAGTCCGGACACATCATTTGTAACAACACACACGGTAACAGTTCTGCATATGGTAGGAAGATTGGCGGGACCGTCCAGGGGGCTCTGGGGGCCTTCCTCCAGCGCAGGACCCTTTAGTCTCCAAAACCTGATCTAAAAATGCGTATCTCAGGGTAATTATAAAGATGTCCTACCTTCCTTCCTTGAGTTTCTTTCTTGTTCCCTTGTTTTTATGCCGTGTCCTGTGTTTATAAAGAGTATTTAAGGTCAGGAGTCTCCTCCTTGTTACCTGTGCTGTGCTTGGAGTGAGGACGCGGCAGCTGGTCGGCACCGCCACTGTCTTTCTGGGCCTCCGGTTAACCTCGGGACCCGTCACGGAAATGCTGACAGAGCGGCATCTCCTTGAGCCAGAGCCTCAGAGGGAAGGCCAGACTGGGAGAAAGTGACGGAATGGGACACAGGAAGATTTACATGACCCCAAAGGAGATGGGCTTAGTTTTTTGCTCTGTGCTCAGCGTGTGAGAGCGTCACTAAGGGATCCGAGGAGGGCTTCCTGCCAGGCAGGTGCACCTGAGGGACTGAGAGACAGGACCGCGGGAAGCTGTGCTCCGGGGGAAGCAGATGCCGAGGCATCTGGCTGATGGTTCGGGGCATAAGATGTGCTATGCCCTAAATGAGGAAAAATAGCAATGGAAAGTCCTTTGAGGAGGAGGGCATTTGTGTGAGCTCGCGGGATGACTTACTTGCGTGTTTAGGGACCCCAGTCGCAGGTGCTGTAACTTGACTTGCCATTGAGCTTTGCCGACAGGACCGCAAACCTGTGAATTCAGACACAAACCGTCCGGAGCGTGAACATGAGTGCGCGCAGCGACTGAGCCTGGAGGTTGCCGTCATGTGCGTGGCTGCCTCCCCTGCTAAACACACGTGATGCTGATTGAAGAACTTCGGTGCACGATGAAGCTCCCCGTTTTTCTTCCATCCTGATTTTGTTTTGGAGTCACAGGGATCCAGATGTTAAGCTTCCACAAAAGCAAAACCCAACAGCCTGGTTGGACTCAGCATGGACTCTTGCCTTGTCCTCCGCCGGCCTCTGCTGTGTGGCCGCTGCTGAGGTGGGAGTGGAGTCTGTGTGCGAACAGTCCTGTAAATGAGGCCTCCCTGCCTTCCCCGAGACACACCACAGGGAAGATAGTTAGATGAACGAGAAACCCAGAAGTCAAGACTCGACAGAGGGACAGATGATGGGAAGGTCTCCTTTCTGGCTGCTTTCTTGAGTTCTGTGACACCTAGAATTATGTTTGCCCACAAAGACTGGGACATCCAAAGCAGCGGCTGTAGTCCAGAGACTTTAATCTGCTACTTAGGTTTGGAGGTAGACAACCCAGGCCTGTCTTTCTGCTCTGCCATTCTGCAAGTGTGGTTTCCAGTCGCAAGGTTCCCTCAGGGCCCAAAATGGCTGCTGGGGCTCCGTCTTTATGCTCACATTCCAGGCAGGAGAAAGGCTGACAGGGAAAACGGCAGAGGGACAGGCTCCTCTACGAGATTTCCTGCAGGGCCTACTGAATATTTTTTGTTTCGATGGATGATAAATGGTCAGGCATGACCTCTGTTGTGGGTTGCCAGGGCGAAGGCTTTGGGAGACTCACAGACCAGGGTGGGCATTGGTTTTGGGGGTGAGACCCAGTGGCACTGATGTCTTAGGCAAGAGAGCTGGAGCAGGGAAAAGACAGATCCCCACCTGCCCTCAGGGGGCTCGTTATGGGGGTCCGATATTGGGGTAGTAAACACTGGAGCAGTGGGGGCTGCAGGGGGCGGCCAGGGGCTCCCACTTCCAACCGTGGGACACGGAGGTGCGGGTGAGGCTGTGCGGGTGCAGATGAGTGTCCTTTAGGAAGGACATCGAGGAGCTGGGTGGAAACCTGTCAGGTGGGCTGGCGGGTGAGGAGGGGGACCCTGATTTCCTGCCCTGAGAAAGAAGTGTCCATGCACAAGGGTGGTCTGGGGTCTTCCAGAGGCCGCTTCGGTCCCCTGAGGAGGGAGTGGCCAGGGCAGGAAGTGCATGGGCTGGGTCTGTGCTCTGAACCCAGCCTCTTGCCGACGGTTCCTCGTTTGTCCTCCTTCTAGAAGGGTTTGCGGGGAGAAAGAAGACTTCCCTTTGGTTTGTGGGGTCTCTGCTCGTGGTGTCTGCCTCCATCCTGACCGTCGGCCTCGCCGCCGCCACCAGGACAGAGAACGTGACCGTGGGGGGCTACTACCCAGGGATCATGGTGAGTGCTATTCCCCTCAGGGTCTGCTGGGAGGGTTGCAGGTGGTGGCACGCTCCACCCCAGCTCATGGGGTCGGAGGCTAAGACACGGGAGCTGCTGTCGGTGGTTGTGCTCAGCAGAATCTGCCCCGAGGCACCCGTGTCTTCTCCCGGGCCCTGTGGCTGTGGTGCTGGCTGGCTGGCCAGCCTCAGGAGGCGCCACCATCCTGCCTCGTGCAGCTGGGCCGGCGTGAGCACAGGGCCCTTACAAGTGCAGGACGGCGGGCGCAGGGTCGGAACCTGAGATGCAGGAGGACGGTGGAGGTGGAGCACGCCCAAGCCAGCGAGGGCGCCGGCCCTGGAGCAGGACAGATGCCGGCCCAGACTCGGCCCGGGGCCTCCAGACGGAGCACGCTGACCGCACCGAGCCTGGCAGAAGGGCCATGCGGCTGTAATGCAGTCCTGCCAAGGAGCCCCAACCGTGGTTGTGCTAATCAGTCACGGTCCTGGGGGCAGCAGAAGAGGGGTCCTCCACGCCTGATTTCAGATTGCGGGCAGGAACGCCGCACGGTAAACCGGATACGGAGATCTGGCAAGAAGTGCCGCCCAAACTCAGAATTATCGAGGGGATTTTTTGAACTGTGAATTCACATCCACTGATGTTGGCACAATAGAACTTGCTCCAAGGGCCCACACTGCACACGAGGAGTCTGTGGGATTGGCTCTGTCAGCTGAGATGCCCTTAAAATGCACCAGAACCCTGAGTTGCTGTCATAAATGCTAAGTCCAGGTTTTTTTTAAAAGGAAGTTCATTTAATCACATTATTCTTATTAAAAGTATTATCAGGATTAGCAATAATATTGGTAACATTTTTAGCAAGGATGAAAAGGTGGCATTAAATATTTAAAAATATTTCACATATATTTTTCGCTTCATCTTTATCTTATACTTTATTTTTGTTTTTTTTGTCTACGCCCTATAAATCTACATTATCTGCCTGTGTATTATTTATGAGTAAATATATAAAGAGTGCTGTGCAGGAAAGTTTTATCAGTAAAGTCTTAAGAGCTGCCAATATTCTGGGGGCCCCACCTTTCTGCCGTGGGTGGTGGGTGGGGAGGGGACCCTGGACATGGTGTCAAGGTGTCGAGGGCAAGCTGCTGAGGGAGCCAGGCTCCGGGACCAGGCCAGGGTGGGACCCGCATCAGCCTGCCGGCTCTGAAGGCGAACTACGGAGGAACAGATGAAATGCACAGGAAAATGGGGGTAAAAGTCAGCTGTGCGCAGATGCCGCATCTGCAGAGTTGGTGGCAGGACGGCTCCCGGGAAGAAACGGGCTGGGGGGTCGAGTGCCCCACCTGTTGGAATGAGGACGGGTGAACCCTAACACATGCACTTTAACACAGTTAAGTGGGATTCTGACGCTTTTGAACTGAGGAGCTGGACTGTGATATTTTGAAGCTGCACATGAAGAAAACGTTCCTCTTTCCTCCTTGAGAATTCTTAAATTATTGGTGAAAACGTGCCCCGTGCTCGCGTGCCCATCTCCACAGACAAGGCTTCCTTAGTCATAAACGGGTCTGACTTTCAGTGCACTAAATTTGACACTGGCCCTGAGCGCCCACCGCGGTGCCACTCTGCAGTCGGCGCCCCAAACTCAGACGCAAGCCCAACCTGCCACCTGCTGCGAGCCACCTGCCGCGAGCCGCCCAGTGCAGCTCCACCTTGTCGGCCGCCCTGCACAGCGTCGTCCCAGGGCGTTGGTCATTACTGAAGAAAGTCTCCCACCAGGTGGACACACTCAGTGGAGGGGTCCCGGTGCCCCGCCCTGGATCCCTCGTTTTGGGGCGAGCACAGCCAGGGTATGTTCCTCCAACAGCCCGCCTTCCTTCGTCCAGGGGGCTGGGAGCTGAGGCTTTCTGGAGGACAGGAAGACCCCCTTTGATGTCCTCCCACTGCTGGAGCCTCCTTCCTACCTCTCCTCCCCAAGGCTACCTGTCTGCCTACTCACCTGAGTCCAAAGCTCACCTGTGATTCGCGTCGGCCACGTCCACGGGTGACTGACAACACTTTTTCTGCATACTCTTGGTTCTGGTTTCCCAATATCTCACCTGAGGAGCCATTCCCTGACTCGGGCTTCAGACTGGTCCAGGAGAAGCATCAGGTGGGCCCCTCACCTGACAAGCAGATGCAGAAGATGGGCTGTGAGTGCTCTGAGTCACCGTGAAGGTGCTGTCCCTCTGTGCAGGAGGTGAGGGGTACATGATACCCTCTTTTCTGTGATCAAGCGTTAAAATATTTGAACATGCAAGTTGAGACAAGTCATGTTTCAGCAACTTCTATTCCAATCACTGACTTTGACTGAGCCTGAGAAGCCTACCCTAATGGGCATGAGCTTGTTGGCCACTTGGTGGTTAAGGTGGTGGGGGGAGGGGCGATTGGCCAGCCTTGCCCCTTCAATAAAATGCTTCTAAGGGTGGCAGTGTCCTGTGCATTATTTGCTGTTAAAGACCAGCATTAAGCCTCAGGCATGCTAACCAGAGTGTTTTCTCCCTTGTTTTTCCTTCGGTCCAGCTGGGCTTTGGAGCTTTCTTAGGAATTATTGGCATCAACCTGGTGGAGAATAGAAGGCAAATGGTAAGAATGCACATTGCTTCTTTCAAATGTGGGGTAGTAAGAGTGTTGCCCCTCAACAGAGTATGTTATAGCTAGAGCTGGTGTTCCTAGGAAAGCCCCCCTTCCCAGTCCAGCAACCTAGGATCAGGGCCCAGGTTCCCCAGGCTGTGCACTGCACAACTCTGGACTCGGGGCTTATGGGTGCCCTTCACAATTAGTCTAAGTGAGCGTTGCTTCTAGGATCATAGGGTGCATCCTACAACCTAGCAGCTGAAGTTGAGACACAGGAAGAAAGCTTAGGGGGTGGGTGTGGGGGTGGGTTGGGGGTTAGGGAATTAAATGACAATGTATAGGCTCTCCCAAGCTGAGAAGCGAGGGGAGGCCGATGGAAAAGCAGGAGGACCCGGGGCTCCGATGGGCTTTACAGAGAGGAAGTGGAGACACGGGTGTATGAAGAACGCCAACTTTGATCAGTCTTCCGAACATGGTATCTTCATTAATGATTTCTATTTGGCATCTGTTTGTTGATGCACGGTTTTGGGGATGGAGCTCCAAGATCAGTCAGTTAATTTTCCAATTCACGGTGGCGGCGAGTGTTGAATCTTGAGAGGTTTTCAGAGGGGATCTGGGGCTGCATGGCCGTTTCTGACTAGTCCCCAGCCCTGGCCTCTCGGGCTCTCAACCTACTTTTTCCCCTATTTGCTGCCACTTGCCTAGGGCTTTCAGTGTGTGTGGGGGCTGCAGCGGATGGCCCCATGTGTCCCCCGTTCCCTGGCTGACAGTGGAGGTCTGTGGCTTAGTTGTGGTGCCACTGTCATGACCCACACTGAGAGAACGCCCCCGGGGCAGAAGGAGTGAGGGGGACAGGTCCTGGGATGGGGCCGGGGAGGGAGCAGGTTGAGGAGATTTGGGTTCTGGCAGAAACAAGTGTCTTGTCCTAAGTATTGGGAGGGTGTGCACCTGCTCTGGGCCACTGGCTGTGAAGAGGTGGACAGAGGGCTTCTGCCACATGTCCGGGCAGTGCGGGACCCCACTCTCCTTGCCTGGCGCGGGGGGGCTTGTCCTTGGCTCCTGCAGACCCCTCTGCCCGGGAGTCTCTTGCAGGAGGGAGGTGGGGGCAGCACCCAGGAGACAGAAGCAGCCCTTGCCTCCGAGTCTGCCCCATGACACCCCCAGGAGGCGGTGCCTTTAAAGACTCTCACAAAGCTCTTTCTGTGTCCTCGCCTGAGCGGTATTTAAGAATCTTCAGTGGGAGAAACAGATTTCCTTCCATGAGTAACCAAATTAAGGTGTAACTGTCCCCAGGGGAGGTCAGTGATTTAAAGCCACGCGAAGGGCCGGAGCTTGGAGAGAGGGTACCGGCTGCGGCTGCGGCTGTGTGAGGAGAAGCTGCGGCCCCCTGTCCACTGTCCAGGAGGCTGCCAGTTCCCCAGAGCCTCACTCCCTCGAGGCTCCTGCTGATCGACTTTGGGTCTGGACTGCGGTAGGCCTGGCTACTGTCACTCAGGTTCTCCCACGCTGTGGCCCGTGTCAGAATGCCATTGCTTTATGGCCAAGTCACGTTCTGGCGAATGGATGGGCCACCATTTGTGCATCTGTCATCAGTGACGGTCACTGAGGCCGTTGCCACGTCATGAACAGTGCCGCTGTCAACATTTGAAGACACATGTTTCCATTGCTAGGAGTGGGACTGCCAAGTCCTATGGCAGTCGTTGGCAGAACCGTTGGCTCCGGGCTCTCCAAGCCCCCCAGCATGTATGCTCATCTGTCTGGTGGGCATGACCCGGAATCTGTTTCCCTGATCATTAGTGACCTCGAGCTTCTCTTCACGGGCTTATTGGTCTTTTCTGTCTCTTTCTGTAGACAAATGTCCATTCAACTCCTCTGCTGATTTTTAAGTTGGGTGACTTGTCTTTGCATGACTGACTTGTCAGAGTCCTTTACACATTCCCCCATCCAAGCCCTTTGTCAGATGCATGACTTGCAAATACTCTCTCCTGTCTATGGGCTCTCTTCACCTTCACCTTCTTGACGGCAGCTTTGAGGCACAGAAGTTTGCAGTTCCAGTGAAGCCCAGTTTGTGTATTCTCTCTTTTGTTGTTCGTGCTGTTGGTGCTGTTTCTTTCTTTCTTTTCTTTTTTTAAGATTTAATTACTTATTTGAGGGAGAGTGGGAGCACGAGCACGAATGGGAGGAGCAGAGGGAGAGGGAGAGAGAATCTCCAGCAGACCACGCACGGAGCACCGAGCCCAACGTGGGGCTTGATCTCCCAACCGGGAAGGTCATGACCTGAGCCAAAACCAAGAGTGGGACGCTTAACCAGCTGCGTCACCCAGGTGCCCCTGTTGGTGCCATTTCTAAGAATCCTATGCCAGCTCCAGGATCACGAAGACTCACCCCTATGTTTTCTGCGTTTCATTGCTTACATGGAAGTCTTTGGTCCAATTTGAGTGAACGTTTGTGTATGGTGTGAGGTAGGGGTCCACTTTCTCCATGTGGCCGCTCACTTGGGAAGTCTGGCTTTTCCCCACTGGCTGGTCTCGACAGGCTCGTTGGTCACCACTTGGCCCCACGTGTGCACCTGCTTCTGGCTCTCGGTTCTGGCCTTTTTGCCCACAGGTCTGTCTTTGTGTCAGTGCACAGTGTCTCAATTACTGTTGCCTTGTAGTCAGATTTGAAATCAGAACATGAGCCTTCCTGCTTTGTTCCTCTTTTTCAGGATTTTTCTGGTTATTCTCTGTCTTTGCAATTTCGTGTGAGTTTTCAAATCAGCTTGCCAATTTCTGCAGCAGGGTCAGCTGGGACTCTGATGTTCAATCTATGGGTCAGTTTAGAGAGTGTCGCTGGCTTAACGAAGTTAAGTACCCTGACCCATGAATGTGGGATGTGTTCATATGTTTTCTAGAGCTATTTTCATTTCCCTCAACAATGTTTTGTTGTGTTAAGAGTCTATTTTGTGCTTCTTTTGCTAAGTGTATTCCTAAGTATTTCATTCTTTTGGAGGGTATTATGAATGGAATTATCTCCCTAACTTCATTTTAGGAGTGTCCATTGCATGCGTGTAAAAATGCAATAGATTTTTCTGTTGATCTTATATCCTGTAGCTCTGTTGAACTCATTCTTTCATTTTGATAGTTTCTAGTAGATTCCTTGGGATTCTGCATCCATGAGATCATGTCACCTGCAAATAGAGACAGTTTTGCTTCTTCCTTCCCAACTGGACGCAGGAGGTCTGTTTTAGAGGCTCGGGTAAGAGGAGAGCGATGTGGGGCCCGGCTTGCCCACAAGCTTCCCTGTGCCTCAGACCAGAGCCTTCGGACGGGAGTTGTGGGTGACGCCTGGACTGTCTCAGTTCTCCTTGTCGGGAGACTAACATTGTAGGATGAATGCATTCACTAACACTTTACTTGATGTTGGTGGAGACCGAAGCCTGTGTCCACCACTAGGAGAGCTGTGATCTTGGGAAACTTACTCGACCCTTCTGGACCTCAGTTCCCTCATTCCCAGGACTGCTGGGAGGGCCCGTGGGAGGCACCACGCACCACACTGGCCCAGAGCAGGTGTCCGGCAGCAGTGGCCACGGTCAGACCCTGTTCTTAAGCACCCAGGCCTTCAGGAGGTTTGGGTTGCTTCACGAGTCAGTAAATAGCAAGCTGAGAGCATGCATTTCACATGCGTCCAGATATGTAAGAATGCTTTCTTCTTGCTTGATTTCTTTTTAATTTCCTCTGATAGAAAATTTAAACATATGTGAAAGTTGGCGGAGGGGCCATTGACCTCATGGTCATCTTATCTCCCACCCACTTCTTCCCTCCCCATGTTATCTAGAAGCAAGTACCAGACGTACTACTGTTTCGTCTATTAAAATTTACGGGGTAGAATCCGGCTGTGACAAAGTGGCTTCACCATCACGTCTGTCCATCTCTATGTTTGTCTCCTGTGACGTCCTAAGAATATGCCCCAAAGTGAGTCAGCTTTTCATATTTGTCTATTAACGGGGAGTTGCTGCCTTCTCCTTTTACCCAGACAGGTGCCTGACTCATCGATTTCACTACCAGATCTGCCGTCCAGATGGCCGCAGAGGCGGTGGGGAGACGCCAGGGGCTGAGAGCAGTGTGGGACCCGCCTATCTGCTTCTGTACGTGTGAGACACATGCAGACAGACAGACACACAGACACACACAAACACACAGACACACAGACAGACACACAGACACACAGACACACACAGACACACAGACACACACACACACACACACACACAGACAGACACACAGACACACAGACACAGACACGGCGTTCCCTCTGGAACATGGTATAAAACCCACAGAACCATCAGGCCGCGAGGAAGTGACAGGTGCAGAAATGTCTCCCGCAGAGGGTTAGGGCACTGGGACTTCTTCTGCCTGGTCCAGAGAGAGCCTGTCTTCCTGTGTTGTGCGGTGGGGTCCCGGCTGTATCCTCCTGCTCTCCTTCACCTCTTCTGCTCCGGGTCTGGACATCGCGGGTCCCTCGCCAGCCTCATTGGGGGGTGTCCAGCCCCACAGCTCCTCACGCAGGAGCCGTGGCAGCTGGTGCCCCTGGGACCAGCCTGGGAGGGGTTGAGAGGAGGAACGACCCAAGCGCTTTGGGCACGGTATCCCGAGGTCCCGGCCCACGGCACCAGGGGATTCGGAAGTCATTGGGAGGAAGCCTGCCCACGTCCACGGCAAGTGCCTGGAAAGCGGTGCAGGAGGTCTCTGCAGCGGATGTGCAGGGAGCTCTGCACGGGGCACCAGGCAGGCGCTTCGGGGAGGACGGGGAGCTGCAGTGCAGGCAGGGGAGGCTCAGAAGGACACGTCCCAAGGCTGGGACAGGGGCGTAAGAAGCTCTTGGGGGGCGAGTGCTGGAATGCGAGCTCACAGTGTGGACTCGTCCCCTGTGGCCACAGGTACCCAGGTGCTGTCCCCACTGTGGGTCCCCTTGGTCTCACCTCGGCCCCTGCCTGTGGACCTGCTCGCATCTCTCCCTGCACACTGCCAAGGAAGCTGTCTGGTCCTTTATTGGGGGGGGGGGGTTGGTTCAATCTTACTTTGTAGGGGTTTGTGGAAATCTGCTATTTCTTCTTGAGTCAATGTTGGTGATCTGTGCTTCCTAGGGATTGGTTCATCTCGATGATCACATTTGTTGGTGCACAATAGCATCTTCTTATAATCCTTTCAATTTCTGTAAAGTTGGTAATAATGTCCCTAAATTCATTTCTGATTTCAGTCATCTGGTTTTTCTCTCCTGTTCTCTGAGTTCAGCTAAAGATTTGTCAGCTGTCGACGTTTTCAAAGAACCACCAGGAACATTGATTGTCTTTATTTCTCTTCCCCTGTGTCTTTTATCTCTGCGCTAACCTTTATTATTCCCTTTCTTCTGTTGGCTTTGAGTTTAGTTTGCTCCTTTTTTCCAGTTCTTTAGGGCGTTAGTTGATCGGCGATCTGTCTGCTTTATCAGTGTGTGTTTACAGCAGTGAGTTCCTGCCGAGCTTTGGCGCCTCCTCCGAGCGGGGCCCCTGTAGGCTTTCATTTCATCCCGGTCACCTCAACCTGGGGTACGGCCTCCCTGCTGACTTCTTCTTTGGCCCACTGGTTGTTTACGGGTGTGATGTTTGGTTTCCGCATATGTGTGGATTTTCCATTTTTCCACCCGTGATTATTTCTAGCCCCATCCTTGTGGCTGGGAAGAGGAAGGTGGGGATGGCAGGGGTGTGGATGGAAGACACACAGACTCCAGCCTGGGGTCACGGGCGAGGCAGGGTGCTCTGTGCAGTGGTGCACACCAGGGCGAGGCTCAGGGCCCACAGTGTCCCCGGCAGAGGACCCCAATCACAGCCGGGGGCAGATGGTCCACAAGGGATGAGGGACACCTGGTGAGGGTTGGCCCAAAGTCCTGGCCCCCTGCTTGGGGTGTCGGGACTACCCGCGGGCTCCCTGGTGAGGGCCTAGTGACGTTCTCCTTGGCAGACCGCGTCCCCCACCGCCTTGTCCACGTGATGCCCCTGGGCTGTGGCCTGAGCCCCTCCACCTGCGCAGGGGGCCACCCTCCACCCGGTCCTTCTGATTAATGCCCCCTCCACCGGGGCAAATGTGTCTCCCAAGCCCTGTGGCCTGACCAGTCTGCCTGTCCCGTGCCCCCTCTAGATGCCCCCTCAGACCAGCCCCGTGCTCTGCACCAGTTCCCACCTGATCATCATTTGCCTGGGTCATTGTCCCCAGGAGCTAACTGTCGCCTTCCCACCTCTTCCCGTCCACCCCCTGCAGCCAGAGGACTCTCAAGCCCCAGGGCAGGCCTTCCGAGACCCCGCTGAGAGAAACACCTTGCCCGGTAAGACCCTTTGGTGGCCCTGAGTCAATGGGGGTGTCTAATGCCCCGGACGAGAGGCCTGTCCACCAGGTGACAACCTTCCCACCAGGCGACAAGCTTGCACCCACTTTTTTCTCTCTTTCCTGCATTATCAACATGACCTTATCTATTGGTGTTTGGTGTTTAATCTGGCTTCCCTGCTGCAGTGTAAACTCTGTGAGCCCAGTGGAGATCTGAAGGTGCCCTTCCCTTCATCCAGGGAGGAGGGACCCGGGCAGGGTGGTGAGGCCTGTTACCTCTATCCTCGTGGGCTCACGGCCTCCATGCCGAGTGCGTGTGTGCGGCAGTCCCCATGCAGCCTGGGCATGTTTTCGAGGGTGGTGGGCAGAAACGCAGGGCCAGTCAAAAGCTGACGAGCACATTCAAGTGTTGGGGCAGTTTGTGTGAGACCAAACCAGAGCGCATCTGTAGATCGAGAGGGCTGAAGGCAGCCGGGCAACAGTAGAGGATGCTGTGCAGGTTCGGGGTGAAATCAGCGGAGGTGTCACGGGAGGCCTCATGGCCACCGCTGGGTCAGAGCTGGTCACGTGGCCAGGACGTGGAGTGTGGCACTCTCTGGGGGGCCATCGAGTCCGTGCATGAGGAGCTCGCTGGGGAGCAGGTCCTGACAATGCCCTGCTTGCACACTCCTGGTGAGAGATGTAGCAGGCCGTCAGTGGTCAGGGGCAGGGCCGCTTCCAGAAGCTTCTCAGGTGAGTGGGAAGGGCTTGGTGGATGTCCTGGCCAGCACCTGAGCTGGAGTGTGGGTGCACAAAGCACGGGGCAGGGGACACCCACTTCCGATGAGGGCCCGGGGCCAGGCTGGCCCCAGACCACACCGGGCTCTAGGAGAGCTGTCACTGGGGACAGTCCAGCTCCTTGAGGACACCAGAAGTGGCCTGGGGGGTGGTGGGGACGAGGGAGGCAGATGTAGAAGAGGGGAGGGCACCATGGAAAGAGCGTTCACGCCGTGGTCTGTGAGGCCCAGGGTGCCTGTGGATCTAGAGCATCATGGGCCAGTGTGAGCAGGGCGTCTGGGACAAAGCTCGGGCTCGGGGGCGTTCGCTGGAGGAGTGGGCTCTCCCTCCCATTGGATTTGTGCCAGAGAGTCTGCCCCGCTTCCCGAGATCGCGGGCTGCTTGGGAGGCCTGGTGGAGGGGTGCGGGGCTGCATCCTGAAATCGCAGGGTGGCCGGCCCTCCCTGTAGATGACAATGATGTCACAGCTGCAGGAGTGGAAGGGACACATGCGTGAAAGGACTCTGCCCTCGAAGGTGATTCTGTTCATCATCAGCCCCTCTGGCCGGGGACTAGCCCCAGGGGACGCGGTGGCCCCATCACAGACAGGGTCCTTCCCTGTGGGCGGAGAGGGTCCTCACATCACAGGAGGAGGCGGTCGCGATGGGGCCCGATGCTAAATGGGGCGACACTGCCTCGGGGTTCGGGCCAGTAGGAGGGGCTCAGCATTTCTTCCCAAAAGGCCTGAGCCGGGCAAGGACCAGCCACATTGCTCTGGGGCCTGCAGAACAGGCAAAGCGGGAAGCTCGCAGTCAAATTAGGTGCAGGCTTTTCATTCATTTATTTATTTATTGTGGAAAACGAGGTGCCTGGCCTCCCTTGCAGGAAATTTGAAAACCTCCGGCTGATCTTCTATAGATGTTTTAATGCATTTTTTCGCAACAGTGATACAAACGCAGGGAAGTTTGGTGCCGTGTAATTTCTGCAGATGACGCTCCCAGGCCTCCCCATCCCAGGCCTTTCCTTGTGCGCAGAAGGAAGGACACATGCGGCTTCTCCCTCCTGAGCAGGGTGAAGGAGGCGCTTTGGCCTTTGGCCACCTCCACGGTCAGCGCGGTGGGTGGGCAGCGCCGCCCGGGGCCACGGCCCCTGTGGCCACCTGCTGGGCTGGGCTTCCCTCTCGCGTGCGGACAGTCTGGTTGTGACGGAGTCAACGGGCCAGAGCTCTCTGCGGAACAGTTGGTTTGGGAGCTGCCATGGGCCGCAGGAGAGTTGTTCTTTGTTGTTTGGATGAACAACGGGCGGTGCTGTCCACACCCCGGGGCCTCAGACTCTCTTTCAGTCAATTTGTCATCGAATGTCAGGAGTGTCAGACCCTGGGGAAGAGCCGAGGACCTCTGTCGGCTCTGTCACATGGGCCCGTGGCCCCAGAGAGGCAGGCTCCCAGGAGGCGCTCTGGAACCATCCATTCAATGCAAGAATGAGTCAGGGCCAGCGCCTCTGTCTCCAGAGGGGGAAACTGAGGACAAGACAGTCACCAGTTCACAGACCTCCAGGGACTTGGGCAAAGCCCCTACTTGTGAAGTCAGGGGACGGCTTCCACTGGGCACTGGCAGGGCTGGGGTCCAGGGCGAGCTGGCCCCCTCCCCTGCTCCTTGGGGGTCGGAGTGGCGCTCCCGCCCCACTCTGGCCCCTGGAGTGTCAAGCTGGTGGTATTTCATACCGGCTCCCTGTGCTTTGTTGAACAAATAAGTAGTTCAGGTTAACAGGGATGGAGAGGGAGTGGGCCTCTCCGAAAAGCAGCCAGTGAGCCTGACTCTGACAGAAGCAGCTCGTACACGTGGAAACCCAACCTGAACAACCTGGGAGAACAGTCTGGAGCACATTTCCATGGCTGGAGACCCAGAGAGCTACTCACAAACACCGTGTCCTGCTTACAGCCTGCTGTTCTGAGCCGCTTTATGCAGAGTCCCGGACCCAGTAAATAAACACACACGCTGTGGGTCACGCGAGTGGGGTTCTTGCTGCTGGAGGGATTACAGCTTAGAAGTTGTGGCTGTGGTTTTGATGCTGTTAATACTCGGGGAACCTCGGCGGATGACATAGGGGAATTCTTTGTACTACTTTTGCTACTTGTTTTGGTACATTTAAAATTATTTCACAAAAAAGATTTTAAAAATTTAAAGAAATGTCCAACAAATCCAAGGAAAGGTTCTTAACTTAATAGAAAAGCAACTGGAAATACTGATGAGCCTTTTTGCCCATCAGGTGGCAGCATCTAAACAATTAATAATAGGAAGTGTCTTTTGGGTATAAGGAGACAGGCGCTAGACAGTTGGAGTAAAAATTGGCAAAGCCTCTTTACGGGACAATGTGGCACTTCTCTGATGCTAAGGTGCAGAGACCCAAATGTGTCCTGTCTGAATGTGTGGGGTCTTGTGGGCTCCAGGGTCCGTCCTGCTGAGATTCCCACACAGAAAACCCAGATTTGTACACAGAACATATGTAGGGTCTTTGTCGCAGAGTTTGCAATGGCAAGAAATTGCAGACCGTTTAATAATCCACTTATTCATGAGGGGCATGTGGGGGACACGGGCCAGAAGCTCCCCGTCTGCCCTGCGGGAGAACCAACAAGAATGCAGCCCGCCTGGGTCTGCTGAGTCGGGGCAGGGTGGGGGTGGGAGAGGCCGCGAGCCCGGGCAGCAAGTGGGGCTTTGGATGGTTTGTACTTGAAGAACGGTTGTCGGGAGTATGTAATGCCCACTCACTTCTCTACGCTCTGCCCCAGCTGGTCGCGGCCATCGTGTTCATCAGCTTCGGTGTGGTGGCGGCCTTCTGTTGCGCCGTTGTGGACGGCGTGTTTGCGGCTCGGCACATAGTGAGTTCCTTCTCCTACATTTTGTTCTCCATTGCTGGCGGGGGCTTAAAAACATCTACAAAAACAAAATTTCATTTTGCAGAATTCAGCTCACTGACCTTCTTGGTTCCTTTCTCCACTTGTTTGCCAAACGCTGTCTGTCCTTCTCTGGCTTTTCCTCATTCCCTGCAAAACTGAGCTGCACAAGCGCACACCCATGCACGGACAGGAGCACACTCACGTGCACACACACAGTCACATGCATACAGCAGCATACACACACTCGCGTGCATGCACATCTGTGCACACTCACATGCATACACTTGTGCACGCACACGCATCTGCATGCACACGCACATGCTAAGCACACTCACATGCACACACATACTCATGTGCACACATGCATGCACATGCACAAACACGCTCGCGTGCACATACATGCACGCACACACAGGTGTGAACACGAACACACTCGCACGCACACAAACACACATGCGTGCATACGCACGCACTCGTGTGCATGTGTGTATACTGACACACAGGCACACACGTGCGTGCGCATGCACACACTGACACACACAGGCACCAGCATCGGCATCTCAGAATCCAAATTTTCAACTTCTTACATGACTTTCCTCTACCTTAGCTCTGAAACCTCTGCCCAAGCACTTAGTTCAAATTCGTGTCTTGAGAGCGTTTTCTCGCTGATGCTGTGGCTGTGAGACCCTTTACCTCAGTTCTATCTCACGGTGTGAAGCGTCTGTCAGTAGTTGGTCCCTTATGGCGGAGCCACACCAAGAGCTCACTGTGGCACCGTGGCCCCGGCTCAGGGTGCTGGCTCATTTTGTTTGTGACGAGCAGGTTCCAAGTGAAAGAGAAATCAGAGCGACGAGGATGATGAGCATAAAGATACTAAAGTCTGCTAAAATTGGTCAAGGCAACCAGGCATCCATTGTCAGATTAGGTAGGATAGTTTTTAAACCTTTTTGTATGTTTAGAAAAGCTTTGCTATAATGTCAGGAAATGGCTCTTGTTTCAAACTGACCTGCCCTTGGCCCACATTTCCTCTGAAACAAGACGCCCGTCATGTACGGCTGCTTTGACCTTGGATGTCGGACACAGGAGCCGGCGGGGCTGGTGCTGGCTCGGCCTCTGCCGTCCGCCAGGCGAGCCGTGTCGGCTTTCCCAGTGTCCTGTCCGCGGAGACGCCGCGACAGACGTCTACAGCCTGAGGAGGGCCGGGCGGGCCGCCGACAGACACCGTGTTCCTGCTGCCCCGAGGCCTCCGAGCTCGCCAGTAAGCACACCGCTCAGCAACGGTGTCAGGGTTGTGCCGCCCACGGAATGCTCTGTCCCCGCAAATGCTCATGTGGAAACCTAGTCCCCAAGGCAACGGTGACTGGGGTGCAGCCTTTGGGAGGTCACGAGGTGGGGCATCTGTGAAGGGACGTCCTCCTCGTGGACCAGCCCACGCTGTCGCTGAACCCGGAGACGGGTTCCCACCAGACACTGGGTCTGGCGCCCCCTGACCCTGGACTCTCAGCTGCCAGACCATGAGGAGCAGATGTCTGTTGCTCACTGACCCCAACTTACGGTGTCTTTGTGGCAGCAACCTGCATGGACTAAGAGATTGGTACCAAGAGTGGGGTGCTGCCCGGGGTCCCCAGGGCTGAGCAAAGCCCTTGGCGGGGGGAGGCAGATAAAAAGGTGCAGGCTTTTCAGTCCAAGAAGCCCAGGAGCAAACTGTGAGCTCAGGCCAGTCTCCTACTCGCAATGGGGTGATGCTCCTCTCCCAGGGTGTGGTTGAGGATGACCTCGAGTCACGTGTGTCTTTTAGGGGCTGCCAAATCAAGGAAGACCACCCTTTTCTGGGCAGATCCTGTTCTTTTAGCTGAAATGAGATGTGGACTTTTGGGAACCCACAGACAGAGTCTGGGCAGAAGGCTTCACGAGACCATCTTTTCCCTCTATTAACTACAGAGCCAGCAAGAGCTGGGTTTTCCTGAGAAGTGGTGACATGGTGTTTGAAGATGGGCATCTTCACTGGGCCCCAGGTCCTGCCTGACTGGTGACCTGGGAGAGGAAGGGGCTGGGGGAGCATGGTGAGGGGGCTGGGTGCAGGGCCCTGATGCACCTTTCCTTGTTCGTCTGGAAGGGAGCTGAGGGAGAGTGCTCTGGGTTCCCAGCTCAGGGACTGTGCATGAGGCCCAGGCCCCTGGGGGTGGGATCAATGTGGGGAGCAGGGGCCTGGCCCCACTTTCTGTCTGTCCATCCTTCCACAGTGGTCCCGACCTGGCACCCCATCTCTGCCCTGAGAAGGCAAAGCCGTCAGAACTTCGTGAGGCTCCAACGTGCCCTGAATAAACTTGAATGCTTCCTAGGTCTTTAAAAAGTGCAAGGGGCGCCTGGGTGGCTCAGTCGTTAAGCGTCTGCCTTCGGCTCAGGTCATGATCCCGGGGTCCCGGGATCGAGTCCCGCATCGGGCTCCCTGCTCAGCGGGAAGCCTGCTGCTCCCTCTCTCTCCATCTGCTTGCCTCTCTGCCTACTTGTGCTCTCTCTGTCAAATAAATAAATAAATCTTTAAAAAAAGAAAAAGTGCTGGCACCTGGTGTTAATCTTAGGCTAATCCGGGTTTGCCTTATAGTAACCTATTCTTTCCACTTTTCTGTAAGTTTGAAATTATTTCCGAATAAAAGTTTTAAAATGCAAGGACGAAGTGCACAGCTTCACTCTCTCCGGTCAGGGGTTCAAAGTGAGTGCTGTAGGTGCGGTTGGCCAGCCCCGGGGTGCTACCGCCTCCAGAGAGCTCAGGCTCCCCCAGATACCGAGGGTGCTTGCTGAGCCCGCCACACGGCCCACTCCTCACACCCTTGCACTTTCCTTTAGTCCTCGGCTTGGTTTTCTGCTTTGCTCTGGCTGACGTGGCCGTTGTCTGCAGGGCTGGCCCGCCCTCCCTGCGCAGGGCGTGTGCATCGGGGAAGACACGGACGTGGGTCCGAAGGAGCTGAGTTTCCAGGCTGAGCATGGGCAGCCGGACTTGGGGGCTGGGGGTGATTGTCCAACAGACGATAAAATCAATTGACCAAAGGCTCTTTCCTACAAACTTGTCACCGGCTTTTAACACCTCCCAATATTATGATGTTAAGATGCCGACAACTGGGAGACAAATTGTGGGGACACCAGGATGTGGGGAGCACAGGCCTCAGGGTGCCGGATGTGGTGCCGGGCACAGCGCTGAGCCCAGCGGCACCCAGGCCTGCAGAGCTCCGGCCGGTGGCCTCTGGACCGCTGGGCCTGCAGGGTGGACGCCCCTTCCTGTGCCCACAAGCACCTAGGAACGGTGACAATGTGGCTGGGCCTCGAGGACCACGCCAGTGCCCGCCGGGCCTCGGCTCCCCTCCCGGGTCAGTCCCAGCCTCGGGCCTTCAGTCGCTTGCACGCTTGCCGCTCACGGCCTCCACTCCAGGCTCCTCTCTCCCGGCGCCGACGGCACTCGCCTTGCCTGCCCAGCAGAGGCCGGGGGGCTTGGGTCGGGCAGGCAGCCTTGGGAACCCTGGTCTTGAGGTCTGCCCTGTGCATGGGTGTCTGCTGGTCTCTCCTCCCACTCAGACACGTCGCAGAGAAATTTCCTTCAAAACCACTTGTTTTGAAGCAGGGGGGTCTCCTCAATGCCGCGTGCGGGAGTGACAAGGGAAGGCGTGTGCTCCCTTGGCACCTGTCCCCTTTCTCGGACGAGTGGGATCTGTCGACTGGTTTGCAGACCAGGCGTGCATGTCGCTGCTAGCGCTCCCTCGTTCCAAACTGGCAGGTGCCTCGCAAAGCGGAATGCCGGGCCCCGGGACTCGGAAGGTCGTCAGGACATCTGTCAGGAATCACTGATTTCTACCCAGCGGGGCCTTCTGGAGGATCGTCTGCAGGACTCGTGGTTCTGGTTTATCACAGGAGACATGGGAAATAATGGGGTCAGCACGGACTTGTGCAGAACGGCTTCGCGGCTGGGACTCGCCACGCTGCAGACGACGGGGGCACAGTGTTCTCTTCCTCCCGGGGGCCCCAGTTCCTCGTTCACAGCTGCCCTCCCCATGTGCAACAGGCCAGGGCAGCCGGTCTCTCTGGAAAAGGTCAGGGTCAGCACACTGGGCCTGTGGCCACGTGGCCTTGGCCACAGCTACTTAGTGCCGCCGTTGCAACACAAAAGCAGCCACAGACCATATGTGGACAAATGAGCATGGTTTTGTGCCAATAAAACTTGATTTACAAAATCAAGCTGTGGGCTGGACATTGCCCAATGGCTATAGGGGGCCGACCCCTGCAGGAGACACACAGGGTTTCAACTGAGCTTTAGTGACTTAGAGTCTGATATTAGTAAGTGTGGTGTCTTAATGTTAATCTAGGTGGAACGGTTAAGAAATAAAAACCGTGTCAACGGTCTTTCTGCACACCACTGCCCATTTTCCTAGAGCAGAATGAGTGGGACTCTGGGCTCTCTCCAGCCCCTGCAGAGATGAGGGTTATCCCCCGAGAAACACAATCTCTCAGGCTGTCATACATTCAAAAACCAAGTTTGTGTGACAGGTGGGACTAACATAGGTCACAGTTTTATTTAATTCAAACTAGTAAGAATATTTCATCCTGATTGGACACTGAAGATCAGACAGAAAATGAAACCTGGTCACCAGTGCTTCTGTGTTAGGAAGAGGATTTACTGAGAAGTCCAAGTCTGACACCAATTCTTCGTCTCTGATTGAAGGTGGCGCCAGCCGGCTGAACGTCTGTGTCCCCAGAACACATGTGTGGTGGCCAGACCGCTGTGCGGACCAGCCACTGGGAGGCGATCAGGGTCAGATGGGGTGGGATTAGTGTCTGGACAGAGACCAGAGCCCGCTGTCCGCCGGGGGAGGCAAGGCCGGAAGAGGCCGGCGCCCTGGTCTCGGGCCGCTGCTAGGGTTGCGGAAACAGGTGTCCGTGATTCAGGCCTCCCCGTCTGTGGCATGTGGTACAGTGGCCAGAAGACTGGAGCAGAAGCAGTGGCAAGATGTCCCAGACCATGTGGCCGGCGCTCCCGTGGGGCTGGACTTGGCCCAGGACAGGGTGACCCGTGCATCTGGACCCTTCCAGGAAGGCCACGAAGTCAGAAAGGGTGTTGCTACGTGGTTATCGGTGTGAGGAAGGGCACAGGAACCTCGTCGTCGGCAGGAAGTTGCTGTCTGTCACACGGTATCACCAGTGCCCGGGACCGGGTGGGACGCTGAGCTGGAGCTGCTAGAACAGGGCCTTGTAGGGATGACACCCCCGAGGGAGGGAGGGTCAGAGCGGAGTCAGCGGGCATCTGGTGAGGGCTCAGGGGCGGTCACCGCAGGGCCTCAGGGCGCCTGCACAGCGGTGGCACCAGCCCCCCAGCCCCTGGCCCTGCACAGCCCTGTTGTCTGCCCTCCATCCGTCCTCACCCATCTCTGAGGGAAGGTAGACCCACATGGCTGCTCAGCTCCGTCCCCTGGGCTTTGTCCAGAAGGTGCAGTCACGGGTGGTTTCCTATGCTCTTCTTAGGTCAGAGCTGGGAGTGCTCTGAGAAATATGACTAACGGAGAAATAAATACTCCCTGTTATTGCTGTGTCCCCTAGGGGCGGGCACTGTGTCTAACCTGGGTACCTTCCTAGTCTGGCACTGCGATGACCCCTGGATGCTGGGCACAGACTTGGATAGGGCCATAGGTGGTGGATGTATGTTGAGTGGTTGGTGGGTGGACAGCTGTAGGGAAGGAGGGAGGGAGGGAGGGAGGGAGGGGTGGAGGGGTGGAGGGAGGGAGGGAGGGAGGGAGGGGTGGAGGGAGGGAGGGGTGCAGAGGTGAATGACTGGATGACCGGGTGGAGGATGGGCCGGGTAAATGAATTGATGCGGAGTGCTTTTTTCTCCCTTCCTAGGAGACCGTGTCTTGTTCTGCGGGTGGAGGGAGGAGGGACATGTCGGCGCCTGCAGGGCAGGTCCTGCTCTCTGGGGCCCAGCTGCTCTGGAAGGAGCCTCGGTGCCGCCGCCTCAGCCTCCAGTTGGCTTTGGTGCCCCTCCCTGAGGCTCAGAGCCCAGGCGGACGGGTCTGACCTCACCCCTGGGCCCTCCTGACGGGGGGACGAAACAGCCACATTCCGCGTGTCCTTGTGCCTAGGAGCTCAGGCCCCTCACCGAGGGAAGATGCCAGTTTCTCGCCAGCGAGGTGGGCTACGTGCACGACGCCCCCCAGACGGAGGTACGCGGGGCACAGGTGGCGTGGGAGGCTTCACTCCGCTAACCGGGCCCCCAGGCTCCCTGTGCCCCCTCAGAAGCTGAGTGCTTTGCTTCTGGCGTGCTTCCTGACCCACGGGATGCACCGCGCCTCGCGGACCCACAGCGGTCCTGCAGCCCCCTGCGGGGTGGGTGCGGCCGGCTCACTGACTGCGCAGCCGGGCCGTGCCCTTTACCCGACAAGCTCGCCCGCCGTCCCGGGGCCACTTCCGCTCGGGCGGGCCGTCCTACCCCACCTCTGCATAACTGTGTCAGCCTGACGAATCATGGCCTCCCCACTGTACAAGTGTGGACGAGCCGGGCACCGGGAGCAGACACCAGGGCTCACCCCCAACGTGGCTTGCGGGCGCTCCTCGAACCTCAAGGCCTGGAGGCTCCCTGCTGTCCTGTCCAGGGGGCGGCACCCGTCTCCAAAGGCTGCCCCCAGCCCTCCTGGCCTTTTCCCCGGCGGGGGATGGGGATCCCGAGGCCTCTCTGTCCAGGCCCTCCCGGCACACCCCCACCCGGCCGCAGACCCTTCTGCCGTCCGCCCTTCCTGCCCACACTGAGGTATGGTCACTTGAGGGCCAACTGTTGACCTCTGCTCCTGGGGTCACAGAGGGGCAGGACCCCGTCCTGAGCCCCATCCGTCAGGCCTTCTGCGGACAGGCCTACGTGACCTGGGGCTGCCCTGGCAGCCTCCTCGTTCCCAATCTTCTGTCTCTTGGAGCCGGCCCAGGAGCTTGAGCTAATTCTGATGCCCCCGCCCCCAGCCTGTTGATTCAGTGGACACAGGGTCTGAAATGCTCTAAAGCGTGGCCAGCAGCCTTCCCTGTAAAGGGTCAGTAATATTCCAGGGTTTACAGGCCGGACGGTCTCTGTCCCAGCTACTCAACCTGGTCTCTCGGGTGTGAGGATGGCCGAGGGCAAGGTGTAAACAGAGGGGTGTGGCCATCCAGAGCTTTGCAGAACGGGCAGTGGGCAGTGCCAGGCTAGAGGCCTCCCACCAGCTGACCAGCTCTAAGCCACTGTCCCCTGTGGTGGCACATTTCCCGGGAGAGCCACGTGCTGCCCCGTCCTCCCTCCACTGCCCTGTCCCCCGGCCCCTCAGCCTCCAGCCCCACCTGGGGCCCCCAGCTTGCCCCCTGCTGGCCTGCTGGTCTGGACACTTCCCTTACCATTTGCAGGTGCTCACGCACACCAGAGCACCCCGCGGCCTGTAACCACACGACCTTGAAAGGAAGGCTCCATGGCCAGTGGTTCTGGAGGTGTGGCCAAGGAGGGGCTGGGGCCCTGGGACGCTCTGAGGACCTCTGGGGTCTGGCCCTGCTCCTTCACCTGTCCCAGGCCAGCTGAGCCTGCACCCTGCCCCTCACTTGGCACACCATCCTACCTCAGAAGCTTCTTCTCCTCCCCAAAGGCCACTGTCTCCCCTCTGAATTTCGGTGGTCTCTGCTCACTTACTTCCCAAACACGGGCTGTATGGCTCATGCCACATGTTGAAAAGCACTGGGGGGAGGAGGGAGGCATGTGTTTTTGCTCCAATCTTGCTCTTTTAACATCAAAATCTCCCAACCATTTACAGTGCCATTATGGTAGGCACCCAAAAGGAAGCCTCCATGTTGCTTACCCAAGGCTGGCTTGGCCAGATCGGGAGCTCTTCTACCTGTGGGCAGGAAGAGGTCTCACCTGAAGGATTCCCACCTGTGCTCTCCTGGAGGCATCCCCGCCTGTGCCCTCCTGGAGCTGTCCCCGCCTGTGCCCTCCTGGAGGCATCCCCACCTGTGCCCTCCTGGAGGCATCCCCGCCTGTGCCCTCCTGGAGCTGTCCCTGCCTGCAGGCTTGGTGCCTGAAAACCCTCTCCTTCTCCTTGTCCACCAAACAGTTGCTGCCTGGAGCCCCTGGCTTGGCCAAGCAGGGCCCTTGAACCCCTCCAGCAGGGAGGGCCCTGCCACCCCGCAAACCCACTACACCTGGAATGGGTGGGGGAGGGGCAGTTCGGGAGACAAGGCTCAGCAAGAGGAGCTGCCTGACTGCCCTGGGCGCTGTGGTGGGTCGTGGCTCCCGGGGCGGCAGCCCTGCCCACTGGGACAAGGTCTCTCTGCGTGCAGGTCACCTGCCACCCCTCGAGCGGCCCGTGTCAGCTGAAGGTGAAGAGCAGCACCTGCTACTGTTGTGAGCTCTACAGCTGCCAGAGGTGAGGGGGACCCCTGCTTCCGGCCCCTCGGCCCCGCACCCCGCCAGCTCCCCTGTGAGGAAGGGGAGTGGGGAGAGACCGAGGCTCGGTGAGGTGGTGCAGGATGGGGGAGGCCGTGGCCTCCCGCCCCTCATTGTGGCGCTGTCCGAGCTGGATGTGAGCGTCTGGTTTCTCAGTGATGTCTCCCTGGTTGGCTGGGGCCTAGCTGGGGCGGTGGCGGCGGCCAGGGCTCCCTTCCCCGGGCCTGGCCAGCTCTGGAAGCTCCTCTCCCGTCCTCTGTGGACAGTGGAGGGCTCGCTTCTGACACGGGCTGGGAGGACCTGCCCAGGCTGCGGGCAGCCTCACAGCGCCGTGGGGGCCTCCCCACAAACAAGAGCTCCATCCCACTTCCAAAAGCCCAGACGGGAGAAGCAGCACGTGTGTGCGTCACGGCTGCCGGTCCCCCCCCACGACCCCCATGCGCGGAGCCCCGCAGGCCCGTGTTGGGAGGGCTGGGATGAGGGGGCTCGCCCTCCCGTGGTCACGGCTCAGCCACGAGTCCTGCTTGCTCTGAGGGGACTCAGTCGTCACCCTTCTGCCTGGGCCTGGGTTTGGGGAGCAGGCCTGGGTGGTCCTTCCTGCTCAGAGGCCTGGGCTCTTTCCCCAGAGGGATTTCCAGACGCCCTGGGGGACAGCCTTGCCCCATGGCCCCAGGGTGCATCTGGGCTGGTTCCCGGGGGGTGGCCACCCCCACACACCAACAAGGCCCACGGGGTCTTCCCAGCAGAGACCACAGCTTTTGCCGGGTCCGGTGCACGGGCTCGAGCGCCTGCACTCCGCGCCCTGCCCGGCTGGCCCGTCACCCCCTTGCCGGCGTGGGTGACAGTTGCCTCTCCTTGGGCAGCACGGAGCCCCCTCTCACCTACTATGAGTTCGTGGGCGTGCGTGGCTGTCAGGACGTGCTTCACCTCTACCGGCTGCTCTGGGCCTCGGCGGTGCTGAACACGCTGGGCGTGCTCCTGGGTGTCCTCACAGCAGCTGTCCTGGGGGCCTTCAAGGACACGGTGAGTCGGGCCCGGGTGCTGGCCCTCCAGACGGGTCGGGGCTCGGGGCCCACGTCCGCTGGGGTGGGCAGGGTGGGCCTCCTTATCCTCACCTACAAATGGGGAAGTAGAGGCTCGTGAAGACAGCCCGCAGGGTGTTAGCGACACGGCAAGCCCTCACCGGCTGTTCACAGGAGCGGTTCCTCTGAGGCGCAGGCTGCACCTAGCCGCTGGAGACGCGGGGGGAGTGACCCACCTGCCCCCCCACCGTCTGTTCACCCCACCCCCTCGCCCCCACTGCACAGGGAACCCCTGAGCCTCCTGTCTTGGGGCCAGGGCTTCAGTCCGCATTTGCCCGAATTAGGGGTGATCCCGACGTGCGAACCTGTGAATGGGGGGCTTTAGGGCTGGACGCCCAGCGGAGGCAGGGACTGCTGGCCGCAGCTCCCGCTGAGCCTCCCCGCCGCCTCCCCGAGCCTCCCCTTGGGCAGCGCCCTCCGCCCGTCTCTCTGTATGTCTGCCCCGGGAGCAGCTCGCCCTTGTCCTGTCTTCTCCCTGTGCCTGCTTCTTCTAGATTTCCCACGCAGCACGCACACCACCTCCTGAAGCCGGTCGCCGACTCCGGAGAGCGCACGGCACCCACTTGAGTTGGGAAAGGCCAGTGTGACCACACACGCACACCAGCCCCCCACAGGCCACACCCAAACTCGCATCCGGGCTGGCGCTTCCCGAGTGCTCTGGAGACTTTGGTCATTGGCCAATTTTAGGAGCCGAGTCCACAGTAAAATTGCTGGACGGTTCTATCAGGAATGAAGTGATGTCCAGAAGGGCCACCAGTCAGCAAAGGCCACAGAGCCGTGTCAAAGCTCCACTCCGGACAATTGTCTTTCTCAAACCCAAAGCTCTGGGGTACTGTAAGAAAGAAGGAAGGCTTTTCCTTAAAATTTTACACCTATTGAGTAGATAGTCTTGTAAGTTTAATGGGTTTTATAATTTAAAGATTATCTTTAGGCCCCCGGGGCTGCCACCAGATGCTTGCCCCGAGGAGGGCGCAGGGAGGCAGAGTGTGAGGGCTGGGGTCTGCAGGAGGGTCTCCGGGGGTGGGGTGGCGTCGGGAACGTGGCAGTGCGTTTAACCCAGTCTGGGTGAGAAAGGTACCTTGAGAAATGTGGGCAGCGAGTCCTCAGGCACGCGGCTGGGCCCCGGGCAAGTCAGGGCCAGATGGGCAAGTGCAGGGAGAGAGGCCTGAGCCAGGCTGGGCTCCCAGCGTCCCCAGCAGAGCAGGGCTGCCCAAGCCGACATGTTTTGCTCCCTCATGGGATACCCCCAACCCTGCTCATCCCCCAAACCCCAAAATGGCACAAACACAGAGTCAGGCCCAGCAGGGCCCTCTCCAGCCCACAACACCCGGCCACCAGCCCTCATGGCCCAATCCCCAGGCCGCGGGATGCAGCCTGAGGGATGCTCCCCCACAAATCCTGTCTCAAGTCTCGAGATGCTCCGCACGCACACCCCTCCGTGTGCATAGCTCTAGTCCCCCAGGATAGCTTGTAGCTCAGCCCAGTGCACACAGTAGGTGCTCGGCAGGGTGTGGTCATGAACATGGCAGGCAAGTTGTGGCCCCCCAGGTTCCCGTTCTTTCTTAGAGTCCTTAGTTGACTCTTGGAGTGTGCAGAGGCAGCCTGGGGGGGGGGGCAGGAGGTGACAGGTGCATTAGTAGAGCCCCTCCCTCTGAGGGCGTGCCGGTGCAGGCAGATGTGGGTGTGTTCTTTGCTTCCTTTGCTGGCTCCCCCTCTGCTGGTCCCCTCCCATCCCCACCACTCAGGACCCTGCCTCCACTTACCTTCAGTGGGTGGCCACGAGTTTTCAGATACTCCCTCTCTGCTACCGAGGCCCCTCCCCGACGTGGCAGGGCCTGCCCCATGGTGTCGGGGTGGGGGGAATCCAGGTCTGTCCTTGTAGGGAGGCACCTCAGTCTGGAAGCCCCCAAGCCTCCCTCTGGAGGGCTCTAGCCCACAGCCCCCTCTTGGGGTGACAGGTGGAAGGCCCACGTCCTGGAGTCACTTGGTGAGCTCACAAGAGCGGGGCCCAGAGGGGTTGGGTGCTTTGGTGTTATGTGCACTCCTCCAGAAATCCCTGCAACCAGGGGGCCCAGCCCTGTGCTGTGGTGTCTGGGACAGTGGGCACGTGGGCAGTCAGACCCTCCTACTGCCACAGCAGGCTGAGAGACGCCCCGTAACAGACGCCCCTGGAGGGGAGGAACCAGTGGTGGGGTTTTAAGACTTATTTATTTATTTTGGGGGGGAGCACATGCACATGGGGAGGGGCAGAGGGAGACAATCCCAAGCAGACTTCCCGCTGAGTATGGAGCTTGATGGGGGGTTCGATCCCACACCCCAGCAATCATGACCTGAGCCGAAATCCAGAGACGGACTCTTAACCTACTGAGCCACCCAGTCACCACAGAACCAGCAGCTTTCTTGCTTCTTCACAAAACACCAAAGAGATCCTGGCCTAGCCCAGCACGTTGGCGGATCTCTGAGACAAATAGAAAAATAAAAAGGAAAAATAAGCCCTGCTTTGAGGGGTTTAGTTCTGGCCCGAGAGAGTGACCTCTCCCTTGCAGGCGTCAGAGGAGGGCGGCGGGAGGACAGAGCTCCGCGGGCCGTCGGCTTGAAGCCCAGGGTGGCCGGCTGACGCTCGTCCATTCTCGTGACAGGTCCCCCTGTCGCAGCTGGCCTACGGCCCTTCCGCTCTACCTCAGATCCTCTACAACCCCGCCCAGCAGATCCTGGCCTTCTGCCCGGCGCCCGTGACCCTCCCCACCTGCTCATCCTACCCTCTGCCTCTCCAGGTAGGCCCAGCGCCACCCAGGGGAAGCCAGTGCGCTCCCGCCATGGGCAGCAGTCGCCCAGGACAGCCCTGGTCAGACGGGACACACATGGGGGCTCAGTGGAGGGAAGAGGGGGACTCAGGGCCTCCCCTCCCCCAGTTTAGTTACAAGGTACCACAGCCAGCATGGCAAGGGGCTTGGGGACAATGTGAAGGAAGCATGGCAGACAACTCCAGGCCCCTCCACATCTCCGGTCTCCTTTGCTCCGTGTGGCCCTGGTGACCCGGCCTTTGGTGTCGTCCTGACCTTGTGCATTTTCTGACCCAGGCCTAGGTACTGCGAAAGTTCACCTCAGAGTCCTGGCCTGCCGCCTGGGGCCTGTGAGCAGTTCTTTAGGGGGAACTATGGGAGCTTGCCCTCCAGCTTTACCCACAGCAGTGGCCACCTCCTAGGACAAACTCAGTAGGACACTCGGGCCTGGGGACTCTTGTGGGAAGGGGGCTGTTTGGCAGGGCTGAGACCTCGTTCCCGGAGTGGTATTTGCCTCCAGTCCTGGGTTTGGCTTCTCTGTCTCCGTATAGCTCCATATATAGCTTGGGGGAGCCGACACGCCAGCCCGGCTGGTGCCCTGGGGTGTCCATGAGGTCCAGAGAGGCCTCTCCAGGCCAGCAGCACGAGTGGCTGGGAGCAGGTGTGGGAGGCTCTCTGGAGCCCAGGACACAGGATGCAGCATGCCAAGGAAGGCTGTCACCTGCAGCCAGCCAGGGGAGGGCCAGCTGGGCATGAGCTGAGCATACACAGGCCTCCTGGTCTGGTGCTGTCTCCACTCACCTTGAAAATGAGGCTAGTGGCTGAGCTACCTGGTGTGGGTGGGGCCTTCAAATTCCCAGAGGGTACCCGACCCAGAAGTCTACCCAAAGTCTCCACAAGGCTGTGCCAAGGGACGCCTCCCCCTTCCCAGGAAGCGTCGGCCAGGTAATCACTCAGCAGGTCCTGAGTGGGCACCAGGTCCTGGTTCCATGGGGATGATGGGGTGTGAGGCTTCTCCAAACACCCTGTCCCCAAGAGAGTGAGGCCTGGCTCAAGAGTGTCTTCTCTGCCTCTGTGACATGGGGGGAATGACCCAAGTGTTAAGAAATGAGAGTGTTTGCCCACAACTCCCGTAGCGCTCACCCCTGAGGGCAGGTACATCCCACGTCACTGGGCACAGCCTTCCCTGCCACGCCAGCAGCCACACTCAGCAGCCCCACCTTCCCTGGAGCATCACCCACGTCTGCCTCCAGGCATCCCCTTTAGTCCCCACCACAGTGAGGACCGCGTTTCTTGACCGTGGCCTGTGTCCTGAGGGTTCTGCTCTGCTTCTCATCCCTTTAGTTTACTAAGCCCAGAGTGTGAGACCGACAGCTGTAGGGAGGCTGGATCCATGGCTGGTGGGCCACCTTTGGGGGCAAACCCCAGTGCAGAAACGTGGACCTGAGTGCAGGCTGGATTGGCCCAGTTGTCACTCATCCACTCCGGGGTGGGGGGAGGTGTGCCCCCAAGCGCTGGGCCCCCAATCCTGTCAGGGCGCCCGCTCCCATCTGATGCTTCCCACGAGCTTGGCTGTGAGGACCGGGGTGCACCCCAAGCGCCGGCCCTGACTCGGTCCTTGGAGGTGGGCAGCAATGGGGGGGGTCTTCTGAGACTGGGTCCTAAGCTCTGGGTGGCTCTGGGCGGGTGCCCTGCTCTTGCAGGTCATGATGCGTCTCCTCAGAAGATGTGCTCCTTGTAGGGCATGGGGCGTGATAGGGGACTTCACGTGTCAGCCGCAGCGCTGGCGAGCCGGACCGCCCCATTCCATCCTCAGCCACCGTTGGGGCCTCTGGCTTGTCCGAACACAGATGCTCCCTCTCTGCCCCCTGGGGCGAAGCCTGGGCTTTCCTCCCATGCCTCATCGGCCTCTATCACCAGTGTGTGCAGGATCATAATGACATACACACCAACAATCAGATTTCAAGGAGATGACTGACTGGGGGGCTCCCTGTGTCTCCTGGGGGGAGAGGGGAACTGATGCTCTGATTCCATGACCAACAGAGAGGGAAAGGGAGTTCCTGAAGTGCTGTCATGGCAGCGAAGTACCCCCCGCGTAATAGCAGGGAGGGGCTAGCAGGTGGGGGCTGTTTTGAGCCGTTCATTGAAAGACCTTAAAGGGAACCTACCTTCCCTGCTCCTAGTGGTCACCTGGTCAGGGCACACAGGAGGGGCTCAGCATCTTGATGTGTGCGAACAAAGATGGAAGCAGAGGTTTGGCTGCATCCTATAATCAAGCAGTGCCTTTTCTGCTTTCCTGATGGGGCCACCTGTGTGAGCAGAGCTATCCCAGTAAGGCCTGTCCACCGGACGTTTTCCTCATGATTCACAGTAGTTTTCTTTGTGGTCTGTGGTGGCTTAGTCTGTGGTTCATGGTGGCTTAGTCTGTGGTCCGTGGTGGTTTAGTCTGTGGTCTGTGGTGGTTTAGTCCATGGTTCATGGTGATTTAGTCTGTGGTCTGTGGTGGCTTAGTCTGTGGTGGCTTAGTCTGTGGTTCATGGCGGCTTAGTCTGTGGTCTGTGGTGATTTAGTCTGTGGTCTGTGGTGGTTTAGTCTGTGGTTCATGGTGGTTTACTCCGTGGCCTGTGGTTCATGGTGGTTTACTTTGTGATCTGTGGTGGTTTAGTCCATGGTCTGTGGTGGTTTAGTCTGTGGTTCATGGTGGTTTATTCTGTGGCCTGTGGTGTTTTAGTCCATCGTTCAAGGTGGTTTAGTCTGTGGTCTGTGGTGGTTTAGTCCGTGGTTTGTGGTAGTTTAGTTCATGGTTCATGGTAGTTTAGTCTGTGGTCTGTGGTGGTTAGTCTGTGGTTCATGGTTGTTTACTGTGATCTGTGGTGGTTTGGTCCATGGTCTGCATGGTCTGTGGTGCTTTACTCTGTGGTCTGTGATGGTTTAGTCTGTGGTTCATGGTGGTTTACTCCAGGGTCTCTCAGCTGCTCGTTTCCAGTGGAGAGCTAGTGGACACATGCATGGTAAAGACTGGGAGCTCCCAGCAGACCAGAGAGAATGTTCTCTAGAAGTTTGGTTTGTTCCCCATGGTCAGAAGGGAGAAACAGAGGTGGATAGAGTCCCAGCCATTGGATTCTGAAGCCCATGCTGACAACTCTGAGTAGGGCAGTATTCTCGGGTTCAGCTACAGCTTATGAGGAAATTCCTCTTTCAGAATGCTAAGGCCCTGGGGTCCCTGGCCTCCTTGTGGGGGAGGGGTCCAGGAGGAGCCCCAGAAAACAGATGCGCTGGCCTCTCAGGGGCCCTGGACACCTGGCAGGTGGAGAGCAAAGGGACCACAGCACCACCGGGAGATCAGAGCTCGTAAACACACTGTATTTCACAGAGGGGACTGTTTGATTTAATTATTTATTTATTTAGGCTTTTAAATTTTTTATTTTAAGAAAATAAACAGCCAGGAATAATTTATTTTTCCTGTGGAAAAATTATCATGACTTATTCGAGATGTAATTGCAGCAGGATAAAGTGAGCTTTTGTATGGTTCAGGTACAACACATCTTTGCAAAGCTAAATAAGCTGACCGCTGAATCTTTTACATTAACTGAGTTAAATTTTCACATTACCAGTTGTTTTTATGGCTTATATAATCACTGAACAATTTTTCAAAAATCATTTAAAATGATTGAAAAACAAAGGTCTCCAATATCTATGAAATAAGTAAAATTAGAACACTTTTTCAAGAAAATGGTTAATGGCTTATTATTGTCTACTCTTATCAGATGAGTTAAGAAAATGAATTCACTTGGAATTTTTGCTTCAGTTTTTCTAGTAAATACTGTACTACATATTTACTGTGTTTAAACCTTAAGCTCAAACCCCACATCTTAATAATCCAGAGTTGGAGGCTTTCTACCTTGACACTGGATAGCAGAGCTTCCTTGAGGCTATTAAGATGGGCCACCATTAATAACTGCTTTAACCTTGACTGAGCAGGCTTAGCAATCAACCCCATTCCAGGGATGCTTGGGTGGGCTCAGTCGGTTAAGCATCTGCCTTCAGCTCAGGTGTTGATCTCAGGGTCCCGGGATCGAGTCCCACATTGGGCTCCCCGCTCAGTGGCCAGTCTGCTTCTCCCTCTGTGATTTCTTTTGCTCTCATTCTCTCTAATAAATAAATATCTTTAAAAAAAAAAAGTCAATTCCATTCCACCTGCACATTCATTCTGATATGCAACAACGGTAACACAAGACCTGGATGAAAAAATCATGAGAAAATGAACAAGAAATACCCTAAAAGTTACCATCTTCCTCTGGCAGAAATCCAGGGAGTCTGTTTAAGTGAGAAAAAACCCACACAGATTCAGTTCCCCTATGCAGCCCTTGCTTATTCCATTTTTTATTTCAATTTTAGATAAAAATGGATATAGGGCTACATGGAAAATTAACATCAGCATCTAGAGAATCACAAATCAAGACAAGATGATGAGAAATAAGCATGTTTCAGTCCATTTTCTTCCAGAACTCTTTTACAACTCTGCTTTCCTGGAAGGGAATTCATGAGCTGTAATACTTGAGGAGATTTTCATCTGTAGGTTTGAGGATTTTCTTATCTGCAATATTCACCACCCATCCGGGGCAAGACCAAAGAAAATCTGCCTTGGATCCTTTCGAGTGCTGAGCATTTTGAAGAGTTCATCTTTAGTGATATCAGGTAAAATATAACCATACTTCTTGGCAAGTTCAAGTCTTGCTTCAGGAAATTTGGCAGGATCGGCCAGGTAAACACAATTCTTTGCATCAGTATAATACGGTACCAGTGCTTCAGGCAGAAGCATTCGTTTTGGAATGGGTTGTCCATGCAGAAAGAATGGAATGGTTTACACAGAATTTCTAGACTTCTTGGGTCATAGAAAGCCGTGGTAACAACACCACCATTTTTTTTTTTAATTGCAGCAATGGCTAGTTCTGAAACCAACTGTACTTCAATATTAACTTTTGCCTTAAAGGTGTCAGCACCCTCCTCTACCAGCTGGACACCATAATCCCTTTTAAGTGGCTGGATGGTCACACCTCTTCCACTGACCAGCTGAGTTAAGTCAATAGGTTGAGTAGGATCCACTCGACTCAAATCAATAAGATACTTCAATCTATTGAGATTCAAAGGGTGATACTGGCGTCTGAAGCTATGACCTTCATTAAACCCGCATTTTGGGATTCGAATGTAAAATGGAGTCTGGCCTCCCTTAAAGCCCAGTCTGGGCCGGGTTCCTCTCTGACACTCTCCCCTATGGCCTCAGCCACATTTTCTACTTCTCTGACCTCTTCGCCGTCTTTCCGGTTTCCTGGAGCCTGGATTCGGCTTTAGGTTGGCCAAGCTCACACGGGGCAGGGCCCTTGCCCCACCGCCCTGCACGGGACCGGTCATTACGCACAGAGCCAAGACCCTCTGAGGGCGCCTGGGGTGGCCTCCTGCTTTAATTATTTAAATATTGCTTTTAAGTAGGCATTTTTAACCACTAGAACTTAAGGGGAAAAATGTTAAGAGGTTTGTTGGCAGGTGGAGAAAAACTGGAAATTTTATTGATTTAAAAATGGGCCATATCCAACATTTTTCTTCTCAGAATCACTTTTACTTGAGTCTATGTGTGTTAGTCAAGGTTCCCCAGGGAAATAGAGCCCATAGGATGTGTGCTCATATATAGATGATACAGATATTGCTACACAGAGACAGACTGAGAGACAGAGACGGACAAAGAGACAGTGACAGAGAGACAGACAGTGATAGAGCAGACAGACAGACAGAACCCAGAACTTCCAGGCGGGACAGACGCGGGCTGCAGACCAGGGAAGAACGGATCTTGCAGGCTCAGTCACCCAGAGGCAGAGTCCCTCTTTCCTGGGAACTCAGTCTTTTCCTCTTAAGGCCTTCAAATAACTGGGTGGATTAATATGTCAATCGCATCTAGAAAACACTTTCACAGCAACATCCAGTGGGCACCAAGGCCTGGCCGAGTTGACACATAAAATTAACCATTGAGCTATATTGAAAATGTTGATGTCTTAGTTTTCCCTGAAAATAGAAAGTGCTGGGTGAACCCAGAAGCCCCCCCGCGATGCTCTGGGCAGCCTCTTCGTTGGACATGTTTGTACTTTGGGGCAAGACTCATGCACAGCAGGTGCACGGCTGGGAAGCCAGCAATTCCGAGAATGGGCATCTCTACAGGGATGCAGGTGCAGAGTGTGTGCAGAGGAGACCCCTGCGGACCACATGGGGCCCTCCCTCTGGCCTCACTGGTGTACTCTGATCAAGGAGCCTGGGTTGGGTGGGTGGCCCTGGTGCAGAGGGAGCCCGGGCCCCACGAGGGCTCTTTCTGGGGTGCTGGTGGAGCTTGGCATGCTGTCGTGCTCCATGTGGGCTGTGTGTGGGGCTGGCCCCTCCGCGGACTGAGGACACCTTTCTGTTCCCTTGCAGTGCGGCGGCCGCTTCCCAGCCTCGACTCCCGGGGACCCCCCTCTGTCCGAGGATGCACAGCCTCCCAACGCCCCACCTCTCTGTGCTCCAGCCCGCTTCCTCCCAGGGGAGAAGCCTCCCCCCTACGCTCCATGACGCACAGGGGTCAACT